CGATATTTTCTTGATCCGTACACTTCACGTGAGCTCAACCATTGCAGCTATGAAAAATAACTTTTATCGTACGGAACACCAGCGTAAACGTCAAACGTCTTAAAACTCTGGTAATACTGAAGAAAACAGAACGTCGCCGGAATGTGTTACTCAGGGCTATAGTATTCATTTGTTTTTCCACCAATAGTGCAGTCAACTAACAGTATAAGCGAGATCTAGTTTTGGTCGGTACTGTACGCCGCTCCCCTTTGTCAAATAAAGAAGCATTAAACTATTGTATATGCCTGCGTATGGTTTTTAATCATTTAGTACAATTTTCACGTTTTATTGAAAAAAAAAACTACCGCCGAACCGCTAGGTGTACGATTTTAAGTGACAGTCACTGTACGTAACACAGAATACGTCAATTGTTTTCCTGTTGAGATTCCTAACAAAAATGTGGCCGGTTAAAGCGGAGACCGATTAAAGAGTGAACGGATAAGAGGGAGTTTACTATAATTATTTTTGCTCATTCCGTGCCACATGGCGTCTAGCATAATCAAGGTGGAAAGTCACCATCCTTAGCTCCAGCAATAGTGGTCGTTTTACTACTATTATTTCCTGGAACTTTTCCAGCTGGTTACAGTATACAATCTGAATTAATAGTCGTATTGTCTGGATGTAATTCGAAATATAGGATACCTTGCTAATTTCACCAAACACACAAATGAACTTTTCGAACATGCAGTCCTGCTTTCGCTCATTGCCGTGGTAGTTCTCCTTCCTGGATCCAATATCCTTTTAGGATTAATTTGCGGATTATCATAGAGAATCCATTTTTCATTTCTAGTTATCAAGGCTCACTTGTGATGCGTGTAAGTAAAAATACAGAAGTTGTCATTCGATCAAGACGATTACGTTCCGAGAGTTCGTGCGGTACCCATACTTCCACTTTTTACAATATTCATATTTTTTTCAAATGATCGTGAATTCTTGATTTTGGAACGTTTAAAAATTTGCACATCTTTTACATTGATGAATTTTCTGTTTGTTCCACTGACAAGGGAACTTCGGTAACCCGAAAAATCCGACTTTTTTGAAATTTTGCAGGTTTACAGGCGACCTCAAGAAAAGTATCGGACAATTTTCTTGTTTGCTCTTTCTCGGTTCTTCGGGGTGAAAACAGCCCTGGAATGAAGGTAAGTGTTACCCTATTTCTCTTTAAAACTATAAAGATATAATAATATTTGTTTAAATAAACAATCTTCCACCACAATAATTGTGAAAAATTTTGAATTTCCTGTCATATTGAAAAATATATCAAATAAATGCAGACAAATATGCTAAATATGTTAAACTTATTGAATATTGTAATATTTAAATAATTTTAATCGATACACTTTGAACGATGGGTTATTAGTTACCAAGTATGTGTGTGCATAAATATGTATGTTTTTATTAAATTAATAGCATCGTTTTATAAGGCATAAAAAGCCATTAAATTTGTATTACAAACATTTGTTTATATCTACTACAGTTTTAAAGATATACAGGGAAATATGGTAACATTTATCGTTATTCAAGGGCTGTTTTCACCCCGAAGAACCGAAAAAGAGCAAATAAGAAAATTGTCCGATACTTTTCTTGAGGTCCCTCACATACCTTTAAAGTTTCAAAAAAATCAGAATTTTCGAGTTACCGAAGTTCCCTTGCAAGACTCGAATTCTGTCTTCATCCACCCAGGAATGACGTCTACAACGTTTTTCATCTTCCGAGTCAAAATTTCCTTCTTGAAAACGATCAAACCACTTTCTACACGTACGAGGCGATATATCATCCTTTCTATAAACAACACGAAAGTTATTTTCAGCTATTGTTGTTATATTTCCCCTTCGAAACTCATACACCATGAGTTTTCCGAGTTTCATACAGCATGAAATGAATTCTTAGGTCGCTCATTATTCTTTCTCTATCCGTTTTCTCAAACTCAGATCATAGATCTTATGCATTCAATAGTCGTTTATTAACTGTCCTCGAATAATTAATATCAATACATCCTATGGCTCTTTGTTTAGAAAACCTGTGTTTGTGTAGAATATAAACGTAATGCGATGACCTAATATACAGGGTGGTGTACGTAATTGGGTATACCTAAATGTCTCTGCTGTTTATTAATAGATGAAAAAATTATTTAGGGTAAAATTAAATTGTTTCAAGAGGTGAACAAAATTATAACAAAGAATCTCTTCACGGTCTTTGTTTTCGAGTTTTCAAGATCATCGGTGTTTGTTTAACTGCTATGGTAGTATATGTTTTTTGCTATACCTTTACAGAGCATGAAAATACAAGTTCAACAATCTTAACAACGTACCATTCTGTTCATTTAATCTTCAGATATTTTCATCTGGAAAAGAAGCTATAACATATACACTACCGGCCAAAAGCTTGGAATTACTGAGCATTGCAATTTACGCAAAAATTTCCAGAAAAAAGTCAGCGACTTTGAGAATTTTTTATCATACGAATCAATTGATATGAGATAAATTGATAAATGTAGAATTGAGATTAACTTCAAATCTATAAAAAATTAGCAGCAGATTTAATATTGATGAAAAGTGGGAGGTGATCCGAAACTTTTGGCCGGTAGTGTACACTTACCGATAAAAGTTAACAAACAGAGTAGTTATTCAGATTATTTACTAAATACTATTTACTAAATTCATTTTGCCGGCATTAGTGTTATCCGATGTATACCACGGAGAGGTTACTCAGTCGGACAATGTTTTGGAAACATTGGAAAACTGCGACTTTTTGTTTCGACAATGCCATACCAGTAGTAGCATTATGAAAAACCTCTTTATCTGTCGCCGCGGTATATGTATGTGCATCGCGTAACGCTAATGCCGGCGACATGTAAAACTTTACGCAAACACCACAAGTATGCAGTGTTTTGAAAACGTTTCGATGTCAGCTACAAGAATACATAATCAAAAATATAGGTTTCCATTTAAAAACTTAAACATGACCTTTACAGGGCATTTCAAGGTCATTATAAGGTCAAAAAAATACAAGAACAATATGTCGCACTCTATACCATACAATTTTCGTTTGAAATATTTTTTTGTATCATTTGTAATTTTCAAAATACTTTCGTGTTCTGAAATACATCGGACATACAGTACATTAGAGGTTACAGAAAGTTCTTCGGGTTATTGTTCCGTTTAAAAAAACCAATTTTGATCTTCATTTTCCCGTTTTAACTTTAAAACACGTTTCATTTTCAAAGTTATACGTATACTTTAAAATAAATAGGAATGTACTATTTACTATTTAAAATATTTTATACAGGTCTGGATTCAGCAAAGGGGCAGTTCTTTCTGTAGACGAGTAATCTTTTCATAAACTTCTTCTGTAAAGAAACGCCCAACGTATTGTAAAGTTTCATTTATTAAATTTATCAACTGAATAGAACAGCAACACTATTTCAAGCTCACCCAACGAACTATACCGTAATTAAATTAACGTTGGATGTGTAGACAGTACACATATCTGTACTATTAGTTCGTTCGGAAAGTTCAGTCGAATTTTGTCGTCTGTATTGAAATAATCGTGACTCCGCCAAAAGTTAACATATTTATTCAAAATAAGAACCATTACAATCGATATACCTTTGCCAACGTTTCACTGATTTATTTGTCATCTACGAAACATAAGTAAAACATAGAAAATGGATAAGTGGATTCCGCACATGATCGCAAATAATCAGCGAATGTTTTGTGTCTCCATTTGCTCTTCCCATAGCCTGCAAAACATTGAAGGCTCTTTTCTTGACAGAATTGTTACCTCCGGTGAAAAGTGGGTACTTCACGACAATCGGAAAAGATCTGGGCAGTGATGTGGATCTTAACGAACCACATAAACACTTTCCAAAACCTAAAAATAGTGCTATTTGTTTGGTGATCTATTGAAGGAAATATTTACCATCATTTTTCGGAAAAAAGAGATACGATTACGACAAATACGTACTGCAATGAATTTGATGTAGCGAAATGCATCAAAAGCTGCAAGTTATCCATCCAGCACTAATCAACAGAAAAAATCCAATTCTCTTACATGCTGACACCCGACCGCACGTTTTATTAATTACAGTATAAAAATTAAACGACCTGGGATATGAGACTCTACAATATCCACTCTATTCTCCGGATCTTTCGCCAACAGATTATCATCTGTTCAAACATTTCGACCATTTTATCAAGAAGAAAGCATTTGGAAATGAACGCGTTGTGGAACAGGCGCCTTCATGGACTTTGATGATTCCAGACCTTGTAGTTCTTTTTATAAACGGCATAAATAAATTAGTAAAACGTTGGCAAAGGTGTGTCGATTGTAGCGGTTCCTATTTTGAATAAATATGTTAACTTACGGGGGAGTTATGATTATTTCAATTCAGACGACGAAATCCGAACGTCTTAATAGATACTGTGTAGAGGTCAGAATGCGGGTCTGATTGGGTAATATCCCCATAAGCCCACCTTCTCTAACACAATCATGAAAATAGGGCACACGTATTGAAATTATTGGCCGAATGCGACAACATCGACGAATCGCGGATCATACAGCACCGCGTGGCGGAAGATTCGAGTGGTGCGAGCGAGGTGCCCCTGTGCTGCCCCGGGGGCAAACTTCTGAGCTCCGCACAGTACACTCGTACGTGTAATCAATTTTTTGTACGCCAAAGCAGTTGGTATCGTTGTTAATTAATACAAAGTTCGTTGATATCAATTTTTTTCACAATGATCATATAAGTAATTTTTTAAGCGATACACGTTCAGAATTCGCGGCATACACATAGGAGAATTCTCATAGGAAAATAATGCAAGTTTGACAATCATAGATGACCGATGATTCCCACGTAGCATCAAACGTGTTAAACCAGTCTGAATGTAGAAATCTGCACATTCGCGTATACATGTATGGAGAAGGTGAAAAGCGAAAAAAAGTAAAAATATATATCTAACCTCCTCGCTGGTTGACTTGTCTTGTCGTTGACTCGGCGACGAAGTAAGAAGGTCCGGTAAGACAGAACTAGGTCGCGAGCCAGGAGATGAGTCTGATCTCTGGAAATCACCTCCGCTACCTCCACCTCTTGGACGGTCACCACTTTCTCGGTTCTATAAAGGTATTTTAATTGATATTTAAATCAATAGTTAGTGTTAACAGAGACTACAAAAACCAAAAGAAAAGGGAAAAACAAGATCTGCTGGAGAATTAAGACCTGAATTTTTTTTTTTCTAAGAAAATTTCAAAAGTTAATAAATACACGTTGTTCATTTTTATATCTAACTACGAATTGTATCGCTAGATGAAAAGATATCGTTCCGAGTAGAAAATTTTATCGTAACGACAACGAAGTCAATTTAATTGTACTTCCTTTCGTTTCGTTTATATGCTTTTGAAATCCTTTTTATCTGACACCTGTCAGCAAATTGTTTCAACTCATAAAATAATACTCTATGAAATTGAAACTTTATTTATAATGGTGAAATGTCTTTCAGTCCCTTTTAAATACATTTTATATGTGCAGCTAAATGTGCGCAATTCTGTCGTTTCTTCATATCCTGTACCAAAATTACTCAATTACCTCGTTATTCTTTCTTCTTTAATGTGTTGATATATAGATAATTTTTAAAAACCTGCTATTCTGAGGGTCGATTTAGATTATAATTGTTTTTACAATTCTTTCGCTTTAGGTTTACTAAAAGGGATATCGGTGATTTTATTATAATTTTACAGTTAATACAAAACAAAATCAAATTCTTCGTATAATCAAAGAATATATTATTATGAGAGTGATAAATTTAACAAATATAAAATTTAATATTCTGATTATTAAATTAATTAATCAATTTTGCGTTAATTATAATATAAATAGGTTTCTTTAGCAATTAGAAAAGTGCTCGCCAGTAATCATTTATAATTTATAGTAAGTATAACTTTTGAAAATTATCTGTGATGACTCGTGTATTATAATGTTTATTTAACGTCTTTTTACATTGTATCAGGAGTGTCCTTTACGTTCTAGTTAAGTTTTGGAATTTTTCCAAAAATTATGACTTGTAGTCAAATTCACAGATTTGTGATAACGAATTATTTAAGTTAAAGACATAAAACAGACAACTGCTCCATTGACAAAATTTGGAGTTCCTCGATAGAGTTTCCCTTTCATAGCTATTTATGATTTTTATGAAATTTCATAATTGATTGAGTAATAATCGTTATGCTTACTCTTGGCTATTCTTTGCCCCATTTCAGGACTTTAATTACCTCGTGCTTTATGAACAGGTAAACAAATTTAAGCAGCACAAGTGATTTTGAAACTTACTTAATGCAATTGCAACTAACGTAAGATGATAACTAAAATTATGACGAAAATATTAAAAATTTGTATTTTTACGACTCTGTCCTTACAAATAACATGTTCTGAAATTGTACAAAAGTTTAATTTTATTAACTCTTCAAGGCAATTGTTTAATTTATAAGATAGCCGTAAGTACAACAATTACGAAAACTATTATAATTTCTCTTTGGAATAAGAGGTTTTCAATCTAATAACTGATATTCACCGATCAAAAATTACTCCATGTGTACAGTTACAAATCTAAAAAGATAACTCAACCCATCCTGGCCGGTTAACAGGTTAAAAATCATCTATACATATATCAGCATACTAGAAATACACCTAGTACATAGTAAGTGAACAGTTTTGGCGTAGGCTTTAGAATAATGCCAGAATTGTTTGGATTTATTTCAACATAAGTCGAATACTTTGTAGTACACTTTCCGTTATTACAAAGAATGCGACAGGAAAGGATTGCGATATCAAGAAATACCGGCCGCCCTAATATATCTTTAAAGTGAAATGCATTCCTTTAAAATTCAGGATCTAATACAACCAAGCAGAATGCTTGCAATGAAACAAATAATTGATCAGAGATCGAATTGAAAAATTCGAAAGAGGCGAAGAGGAGTACAGAACGAAAAGGAAGGGTATATACCATGAAATTACGGGTAATGAAGGCAAGGACCAAAAGACAGCATTGAAAATACAACAAAAAACACAAGCAAATTATGAAAAAACGCAATAAAAAAGTGAAGAAGTGCACGAGAAAGCGATAAAGGAAACAAGTACTGAATGAAAATGTAAATAATTTGATCGGTTCAACAGATCTATGCGTCGATGAAACGTTTGAAACGAAAAGATAAACATGGATTTATTTTTCATATACCACGCATGGGTAAAGAGAAGAAATTTCTTACAATTAAATGAAAAATATTGTGCGAAACACACACAAATGAACTTAATTCATGCATAGTGTGAATTAATTAACAAAAATAATAAACGTTTGTTTTACTTTTCTACTACGCAAAACATATAACAGTACATATTTTCTACAGTAATAACGAAAGCGAAAGATAAGCAATTTCAAGGTCCTTTTAAAATTCATGACATTAGTAGAAACGTGCAACGCGATGAGCTACAAAATATTGACACGAAACTATCGAATTACATTGGTTATACATTGGTCTCTATAGATATTCAAGTTTATAAACGCTTGCATTCATCATTCAGTTACTTTATACTATAAGTGTCTCTAACGCAATACATTCTACTTATACTACATACTTTGCTATCATCGTATACACTTTACTTTGTTGTAAAACACAAAAACAGGGGGGTGCAGTTCTGAAAGTCCCCGGTCGCCGATCGACACGAAATTTGATGGGAAGGGAGAGGAGGGTGGGTGGACCCCAAATATAAAATATTAGCTGCAGCCAGGCATAAATTTCCGAGATATTAACAACAAATTTTCAGTACTACACATTGAAACTGCGTATACAGACGTTACTAACACGTTGAATGCTGCCTATACAAGGTGTCCCAGGTTTTAATGGCCAAACGTTGTCAGTATATTCTGTGGGTCGAAATAAAAAAAAAAAATGTTATAAAAACATAGGTCTTTTAGAGCTTCGTTAAAAAGTTATGGCGGTAATACGAAATGAAGGAAACAATAACAGACTCACAGTTACTGCGATGTAATACAGAAATAGATCATCAATATTTGCGCGATATTTACAAGATTGCGTAATGAATTGATACAAAAAATCAACGATGCATTTACTGAAATGAAACAAAATAATAACGAAATTCGCAGAGTAGTAAATTCTGTTTTCTGATGTCAATCTTGCATTGCTATAAACGGTGGACATTTTTGAGATGGGGTATTAGTTGCTTCTTGCATAAACAGAGTAAACGTAAATATTGCCGATCTACTTCTGTATTACATCGCAATAACCGCGAATCTGCTATTATTCCCTTCATTTCGTATTATTGCCATAACTTTTTAACGAAGCTCTAAAAGATCTATGTTTGTAGAACATTTTTTTTTATTTCGACCCATAGAATATACTGACAACGTTTGGCCATTAAAACCTGGGACACCTTGTATAGATGTTACTAATGCAACCATATTCGCTGTAGTGGTCGCTGCCGTCAAGTGTCAAGTAGCCGATGACACAATAGCGGTAGCGGCCTCAGTATCTGTAGGATATCCCACGTAAAATTTCGGCTAAGCGACGACTATTCGGTTATTGCCGACTGCCTATTTAGATACCTGGCGGTATTAAACGCTGTGTTCCAGCTCGATTGATCGACAAGATGATTACATACATGATTAGGTTAGGTTAGATTAAAATCCACGCTTTCGGTGGCAGCTTCGTTCAGTGAGCCTTATTTGGACGAAATTCGTCACCCTATAGATACCGGGCCCATACTCGCCACTTGACGGCAACGCCACTACAGCGAAAACGGTTGATTAGTAACATCTGTATAGGCAGTATTCAATGTGTTAGTCACGTCTGTATACGCAGCTTCAATGTATAGTACTGAAAATTTGTTGTTAATATCTCGGAAACTTTTTTGATTGGCAGCAGCTAATATTTGACATTTAGGGTACACCCACCCTTCTTCCCCTTGCCGCCAAATTTCGTGTTGATCGGCGACCGGGACCTTTCGAAACATACATCCAAACAAGGAAACGAAACTACTGATTTGGTATAATTAAGCAGAAATAAGATTCGAAGAGACGATTTTACCATTGACAAGAATGACTTGATCGCAAGAGATACATCTGTTCAGAGTTAACACGCAAGAATAACTAATCACTTTATTTGTAAGCTGAGCGAATAAACGACCATTTATTATGTCTAATTTTCGTTCGGTAAACACTATCGAAACTAAGAAGTTATTCCTCGCGCGCTTATTTCTTTCTCTTAAATATTCAAAGAAACAATGTTTAAACATATGACTTATCAACACCTCTGTATTATCAGGTGTTTAGAAATGAATTACACGCATAATATATGGCTGGATGAATCTCAAGTAGGATGAATAAGCACAACTAAAGATAAGTTTTCATTGTATGACGACACATAATAAATGTACTTTGAAGAATCAGTTTCTGGTAGAAGCACAAAAACTTGTGAATTTTTTGCATTTACACATTAGTTTTGTGATTATCAGTGATAGAAAAAACAACATTCCGTATCATGCCGAAGGTAACACATATAATGGAAAGAGGCATGCGGCGAACACGTATCACATACATATATCGGATACATCACAAGCGTCATGCAAGACAATAGTTCGAAACATGATTTGTAACATTGCTAGTATAACAATGTATGCAAAGTAAGTACACAACTGTGCATTTAACAACAATATAACGCACACACGCGTGCGCGCACACACACACAGAGCAACAGTTTATCTTGCAGAATGTTCTTGTTAGCAGTCTCTCTCTCTCTCTCTCTCTCTCTCTCTCTCCCTCTCTCTCTCCCTCTCCCCCCCCTCTCTCGGTCTCTAAATGATCTTCATTAGTATTAAAAAGATTGCTTATAACGTCTAAATATATTTAAAAATATACGTAGTTTAGGCACAACAGTTAGATATGTCTTTACTTTTTTGTTCAATACTTTTCCGAAGCAAGAAATCTTGAATAAACATGCATTACACGTATTACATTTTTAAATAATTGATATATTATCGTAACATTATTCAATTGGTTAAAAAAGTAGAATATAAATCTTCGAAATTTCATTGCCTAGAGCCGTA